TTACATGGGTAAAACATGAAGCAAATTCCACCGTTTTCGTGAAATCATCATCAGCATTCTATATATATTCACAAAAACTAGATTCAAATACTTCCGTGTATGTATTCATGTTAAAGTTTATATCAATGCAGAAATATTCAAACCACTGCATTCACTGAACTAATACAAAAAATGAACGGTGCCGTGAAAACTGTGTTATGAATCGGCCTTTGTCTTAGAGGGATTGTGGAATATTTAGAAGTATGAAGATGTTTATAACTACAATTTCAAAGCATCTGAAAGAAGAGAACGAACATCTCGTTCACTAATTCGATTCGATGATATATGATCCGCAATGGATAAACTGAGATCCGAGGTAGTTGGTTTCCAATTACCAAGGACTTTGAAAACATTTCCATTATCTGTTATACCGTCTAGACTGGAACATGGTAAAATATTAGTTGCCTTTGATTTTCTATTCCGGGAACTAACACGAGTAGTGTATTCAGATTCCTCGGTCCGTTCTATGTTGTATTCAGATACGCAACCTGTTACATTCTGTTCCATTTGTAATTTCTCAGATGCAATACGCAGCATACCCTCTTCTAAAGTACCTTCAGAGATTAGTCGTATGACGTGAACAGGGCTAGAAAATTAAAACATGGCAGTTTATTAGAAGACAATTTTAAGTAATTTTTAGATACTGTCTAATCACAAGAAACGAAAGCAGACATTTAAATGTCATAGTATGATATCGTTCAATCATTCAAAGAAAAAGTGGAATATACCTTGCAGATATAACTACGTATTTTAAAAATCACATAACATAATCATTATCCATCACCGATAATTTCTAAAACAGTAGTGAAATTCAAAGCGATTTAAGCACATTAACCAACATGAACTGATATTCATACTCTATATTGAGAAACATATAAAAATTTGTCACATTCAATTGAGATCAGTATACCTAATAATCCCAATGTAATGATTAAGTCTTTGGTATTTTTACTGGATCCAATTGATTAAATAAGCTAAGCTGAATACTTCAAAGAGTGATATCATTTGTTTGGCATTTTAATTTAATATATTTTGGTAATGGCAACCTGTTTTAAACTTTCAGGGAACCTATTTTCAAAGTGTATGGTCATTGAAATAAGTTTTTCCGTTTTCCATGTTTTTAATGCATTACTTATGCATGTAAATCTTAAAAAGTACTTATCATGCACTTAAATCCTATACAGTTTACGACGATACTCAATAATATATAACATACAAGTGGAAACATTAATAGTTGAAAAAAGGAGGGAATGCACTCGGATCTAACCACAAAACGTATTATGCGGTGCGGTAACGGATAAAAACAGTTAAAAATGAATGGCAGATAAACATTGTGATTTGAAGAGCTACAAATGGCTTGTATGTTAAAGTTCAACTTACACGAATGGGGTATATTTTATGCTGAGAATTCTTTACTGTAACCAAGTATATGGCACTGAATTAACCAACTATCAATCTTAAAATTCAAAGCAAATTATCGTAATTAATGACGGTGCTGAAGGTAATGTGCTATGACTAATGACATTAACAAACATTTTAAAGCAAAGATGTGGAGAAATGTAGTTCTTAATAATGAAAAAAAAAAACATAAAATATGCGCATGATATAACGTACTTTTTCTGACCAAGTCGATGGCAGCGATCCTCTGCTTGTCTATCATTATATGGATTGAAGTCGATATCATGTATAATTACAGTATCTGCACCAGTTAAACTAATACCTAGGCCACCAGCACGTGTAGATAGTAGAAAAACTTCAATCGATGAGCTGTGTAAAGATGTACAGGATTAAGTGAATTCAAGATACTTAATATAAGTTATAATTTAGATAGAGAAATGAGAATCTTAATCGGTGATTTCTTTAATGTAACCAGTTAAGATTTTACTGATATTTCGTAGTGTAAATCTAGAATCTATTTGGTAGCTAGATGTGATCAAACTAAAATATGGAAACAGTCTATGAAATCATTAACAATTAGATTCAGCTACGTAAGTGTTTATGAAGGATATCTGACTGGTGTCTGCGATTATCGCAACCAGTGGTTGGAGACGACAGATGATATGGTTTAGAATCAGTAACATTGGCCCAGATCCATTAATTCTTTGTTTTTCATTGAATTCTAAGTTCCAAATTTATCCTGCACATTTCTATTCCGCGAACGATTTTCGTTCTTTTTGAATCCTATTTTCAATGACTAGACTTTTATTATGGTGATAGTTATTATTTCTACTACTCTGACATTTATATCAATAAGTTCATCGCGCTGTGCTGTGGTGTGGCGACTCATGTGTGCCAGGTTTTACTACGTTGAGCTATAGCTTTAGGTTGAATATTATTTCAGTTGATAGTTAATCAGATTATCACACTTAATATGATTCTGTTTTCTACATCTCAAAATATCTTTATCAGGACATAAACCTATGCTTTTACGAACCAATTACTTTTGGCTCCGAACCGGAGATGTTTTTGAGATAATTATTCATTTTTATATGCAGATGCACGGAAGTAAGTTTATTGAAAAAATAATTCCCATTTCCAGTAAAAATCTCCCATTTTGGTCAACAAAAAAGAATATTTCGTTTCCTACACATAAGCACTCGATATTTGAGTTAAAAAGGTGTAACACAAATAAAAACCACTCAGTCAAACACAATAAAACTCTGAATCAAGAATTGATAATCTGATTATTGTGAGTTGAACAACAATGTTTTAATACATATAGTGACTGTATGGTGCATGCTACTTATATCGATGTAAGTAGTATATGACGCGAGTTTAAAACGCAATGTCCGGCAGCAGAAGATGGGGGAAGATCAAGAAACGAAGAGCGACAACACAATGAAATTTGTAAGAAAATGCATGAACAATGAAATGTGAGACAATGGATTGATGTTTGCAACAGGAATAGTCCAGGTTGATATGATGCATTGATATTTTGCAAATTAACGATTTACTATATGGTTTTTTCTATTTTACCAGGTAACTCTGTAATTTTGTGCTAAATACAAATCGGTTGTCCTCACCTGTGTTTTCCTTCATTACAACTAGAATATATATATATTAATGAACAAATAATTAAATAGGGATTTTAGTATGTAGATGAGCAGTGCTAATAAAATGTAGACAAACTAATAACAAATATTTACCTGTTGAAACGATCTATTAATGTTTGTCGTTCCGAGACAGGAGTTGATCCATCCATTCGTATATAACGCCTGTTAGTTATCCTTAAAAATTCCTCCAATATATCTAACATGATGACAAATTGACTAAAAATCAAAATACGATGTCCTTCACAGATTAATTTAGGCAAATTGTTATTTAACCACTGAATTTTTCCAGATCCAGAGATGATCGATTCAGGGGAGAGAGTATATGGTGATAAAACCTAAGGAATAAGAAATATATCTTTCATTATGTCAAAAGAGACATCGTATTCATTTATTTATTTAACTATAAACCTGTATCCGCCATATTTATGGGGAAAAGATGTTTGAGTTTTTAACAAATGTACTTACAGAGTTCACTAAGCTACTTAAGGAGGGTTTAAAAAACAATAAGAAAGAGAGTAGTGTAAGGTAGTGTAATAATAGTGGTTATAATCGGGGAACGGAAAGGTACAATCACAAGGAATCTTCCAGTTAAGGAAGAAGCAACCACTTTTTATGAAGAAAGTAAAAGAAGGTTACAGCAGGATCGCCACTGGCTTCTATTCTGAGCCACTGTGTAGAAACCTCTCTCGGACCCCAATCAGGGAGTCGTGAACGACCAACAGAAGCCAGTCCTTTGCAGCTTTCTTTCATACCACGACACCATGTCATGCACTGACCACCTCTCCGCTTCTTCCAACCAGTCCCACAGTCGGCAAATAATGCACGACGTGGAATTCTCTGGGACGACATTCGAGAACATGTTCAAGCCACCGAAGTCGGTGTTTCAAGATGGTGACACCAATTGGATTATCATCTCTGCGCCAGAACACACGATGCCGAACCTCTGCATTACTAACATGGTGTTGCCACTGGATATCAGCAATCCTTCGGAGACAGCGATGATCGAACACAGAGAGTCGTCTAACGTCCTCAACTCGGAGACCAGGTTAAACAAGCATAGAGCAAAACTGCTCTCACCGACGCGTTGTAGAACCGACCTTTTACAGCCAGACTAACATCACGAAGGCTCCAAAGATGGCCCAGATTGACACAAGCCGCTCTGGCTTTCACTATACGTGCATTGATCTCATCACTCACACCACCACCAGCACTTATGCAGCTACCCAGATACACGAACTTCTCGACTACGTCTATCTGCTCACCATCCAGGGTGAGTACAGGATTAGAATCCTGCCAGTCTTGTTGAAGTACTTTGCACTTCGAAGGTGCAAAGCACAAACCATACCTACGGACACTGATTGTCAACTGATTAAGTGCGGATTGCATGTCTTGGGCATTATCGCACAGTAAGGCAATATCATCCGCATACTCAAGGTCGAGAAGTCTTTCTCCAGGCAACAGATCCACACCACCATTACGTACATCCATCAGAGCTGTTTCCTGAATGTCATCGATGGTAAAGTTGAAGAAGAATGGTGAGATTGGGCAACCCCATTAACCCCACTACTCGGATGGAACAATGGAGAGAGGTGGTTGTATGCCCTCACTCTGCCTGAGGTGTTTGTATATAGGGCTTTTAGGATGTTAATAAACTTCTCAGACACACCCTTCTTCAATAGACAATCCCAGAGAACAGCCCTGTCCAACGAATCGAAGGCAGCCCTAATATCAAGAAACACTACGATTGTTGGCATTTGATAAGTATGGCGGTGTTCTAACATTTGGCGGAGGGTGAAGATATGATCAATACATCCTCGACCGGAACGAAACCCAGCCTGCTCCTCGCGAGTCAATCTTTCTCGAGTTTTGAACAACCTACGAAGTATAACGGGAGCCAATAGCTTGGACGCAATCGGAAGTAGACTTATCCCCCGATAGTTGTTACAGGAACGACGTGAACCCTTTTTAAAGATAGAGACAACTATGGACTCATTCCATGGCGTTGGTACACTCTCTAATTCCCAGACTGTTGTAAACAACGTCGTCAGTTCTTTAGTCAGAAAGTCACCACCATCTTTAAAAATAGCCGGAGGTAAGTCATCTGGGCCCGGTGATTTTTAACGCTTCAAGAGTTGGAGTTGCTTGCGGATTTCCGCCTGATTTGGTGGATAGCTCATTAGCACGCTCCGACCACCAGGCTTCTCAGTCCTTACGCAAGCTTCGCCCAATTTCCTTACGTAACATACTTCGTTTGTGATCAAACTCAAGGTCACCCGGAGTAGACCGACCGGCTTCAATGAGTTGTAAGGAACCTGAAGAAACCCAGTGCTTATAAGCGGGACGTTTCGCGAACCCACAACTGACTGTTCCCGCCATTTTCATGGCGTCATGCAATTGCAACCAATGCTCATCTATACTTTTCGGTGGAATGGTAGCTAGCCTAGAAACTAGCTCGGTTTGATACTTACTTGCAACAGAAGTTGCAACCAGCTTACTAACATCAATCCGTTGGTGGTGGTAATATTGGCGCAGACTAGGGCATGATCAGAGTGCCTAGACGCCCGACCTGAGCATTCAAGTCTCCGGCTAGTACTACAATATCTGTCGAATGCACTTTCTAGAGAAGAACAGATAACTGGTCGTAAAACTCATCCTTGATTGCATCCGGGCTGCAATCTGTGGGGGCATAGGCGGAGATGACCAAAAGACATCGTTTCTCACGCCGATTTCTTCTCACTTTGATGGAACTTTCTAATCTAACAGCACATAACCGACTGTTAATGGGGATCCAATCGACTAGTGCTGCCTCAGCTCTAGCGCTTAGTGCGACACCAACGCCAGCAAGACCAGACGAATATGCCACAGGGTCCCCGGATAAGCGCACGTAAAACAAGCTTTTCGAAGCGACAGATGGAGATCGAATTTGTAGTACTTCGCCAGTCTTGAATACGGGTCTCGGATAGACAGCAGACATCGATATTAAGACTTTCCAAAGACATAGCCAGCCCTATCTGTTGTCCGACCTGCATAAATGTGCGAACGTTGAAGGCAGCCAGTTTGAATGGTGCACGTGGTTTCAGAAAAACTGCTTCAGTACTCATATTCGGTGGTAACATACAATTTTCAACCGGACACTGACTCGAGAACGAATTTCCACCATAGACGAGCTGCTGTAAAAGTCGAAAAATTAAGTATAGACAGAGTAGGAATAAAAGAGGGTGAATAATGACGTTTTAAATAATAATAATAATAATAATAATAATAATAATAATAATAATAATAATAATAATAATAATAATAATAATAATAATAATAATAATAATAATAATAATAATAATAATAATAATAATAATAATAATAATAATAATAATAATAATAATAATAATAATAATAATAATAATAATAATAATAATAATAATAATAATAATAATAATAATAATAATAATAATAATAATAATAATAATAATAATAATAATAATAATAATAATAATAATAATAATAATAATAATAATAATAATAATAATAATAATAATAATAATAATAATAATAATAATAATAATAATAATAATAATAATAATAATAATAATAATAATAATAATAATAATAATAATAATAATAATAATAATAATAATAATAATAATAATAATAATAATAATAATAAAATAATAATAATAATAATAATAATAATAATAATAATAATAATAATAATAATAATAATAATAATAATAATAATAATAATAATAATAATAATAATAATAATAATAATAATAATAATAATAATAATAATAATAATAATATGAATCATTTGATTGTTAGTCAAAGCAAGAAAAGTAGTTTCCATAGATATAGAGTGTTCATTATTTGCGTGTGGGCTGCGATGCTGCCCGGGTGGCAAGACCGAGGCAGATGGTTTTCTTAGGGGGCCACACCCCGAGCCTTTGACCTAAAGGTCTAACCCACAATGCAGTGGAGAATCGTGAGGAGATGCAGTCCGATGGTGGGAAGACTCTAGAATCTTGTCATGTAAAAACTAAATATACTAATGTTTATCTTATTGTGCTTCTTACTTCTATCTACCCTTGTTATTTGGAATATAATTTCGTTCCTGTTGAACTGTGCTCTGACTTCGGGAATTGGTGCCCAAGAATACTAAGCAATAGAATAAGATGGGTCGTAATAGGAGAAATTATAACAACAGGTTATTAGTTTTGTGAATTCAGTAGGCCATTAAATAACCAGTTGTCGTTTGCAGGGGAAGGCTCGAATCTCAACACTGGGATTTAAGTACATTTACGTGACGATCTCCAAATAGGATGAAATGAGCGTCCTTGATTCTACTGTTAGACAAAAGCCTGCATTCTAAATGTTTTGTTAGGCCCTCAACAAATTTACAGATAACATGTGAACGCATACATTTACAATAACTTTAGATAGGAGCGAATAAGTGCGGAGATAACACAATTGATGATGAGAGGGGGTTAACACGTTATTGAGTAGAAGGAAAAGCTACATGTATATTTATGTCGAGAAACTGTAAGAAAAGATGTGATCATTTTGGATTAGGTTAATACCAAGATCAACCTTTTACGTGTTATGAAGCTATGAACATTTGTTTAGCAGATTTTCACATTGGCATTCGAATAAAATAATAGTGAACGTTGATCAGTTTACTTGTTCTTGTAGCGGCGTATCATGATGTTCACTTGTAAAAACGTCTTCCGTAACATAATTCGGCTCGGTTGTCGCATATTGAACAGAAAATTACATACAGCTTCATAACAGATCAAGTAGTCAACTCATGGGTCGATTATACAGTTTTAAGAGATATCATAAAAGTTTATGACGTTTCATCGCGAAATCAGAATGAAATATTTTAGCACAGCCGGATTATTTAACAAACCAGAAGTTCAATTTAACATTATGTGTAGAAAATATATATTTGCGATTGTTATTTATTTTCTGTGGCACACTGAAGAATAATTTATTGAAATGTCAATATAATTTAATTGAAATTTATTTTTATCATGTACTAACCACACTTTGACTTTTGTATAGGATAATGTCTTTCTCTTAAACAATGAATTATTGAACTTCAAACTCTGACAGAATAAATAATCCTGGAAATTTTCCTAGTGTTAATTATGTAAGTAAGAATAGGAGAGCAAGTTTGTTAAAAACAGAATTTTCTCTGCCACATTTTGATTTACTGAGAAAAAACAGAATTCATAAAATGTTTCATCATATCGACTAATTTACATACGCAATTTCAGTATTTTATTAATAATTAGATACATTACATTAAAGATAACATGAAGTCATCAGTGAATACACTATTCGCCCTTATTTTCAATTATGAATTAAGCATAATTGTACACTTGTATTTGTTATAACTACAATCCAATCACAATGGTCGATTCCATCTAAAAATCTGATGAAAGGTGTTAGAAAAATATATACACAACCAGAATCTGAAAGCGAAGATGATAAAATCAGCTTATTCACCAAGTATTTAAGTATGAGCCACAATCAAAGTGTGGAGGATAATGATACTGTCTGGTTACTTTAAACGGAGTACGTGACGCGATGTCCAAGTTTGGAACTTCATGGTTGAAAGCCTTAACTGTACATTGTTGAGTTACACAATGTACAACACTATGATCATTTTTATTTGAGATGCTAAAAAGTTATTTCAGTTACCTTTAGATACGATCTTAAACAGGACACCTTTAATGGACGAATCTTTCACTGGAATTTCCCAGGTAGGAAAGAGCATTTACAGTGGATTTCATATGTTTAAAGCTGAAGAAAACAATCAAGGAAAATTTACAACCGATATCAGAATTTATAATAACTACAATATGTAACATTGAACAAGGTCAAACTCACCTCGTAAAACTGACATAGTTTATTTATCTGATGATCACTCATTGCAAGTAGGTCTTCATAGATAAGATTGGAATCAGAATTAGAGTGACTTGGATCTAAATGCAAAGATTCTGCAATATCCCGAAGGTTTGAGTCTGTGTATGCAAGACCAGAAAAAAGAGCCTGGTGATTTGCTGCCTTGCGCAACGCTGTAACCATGTTGCACGGTGACTGGAGAGGCTCAGAAATGGATCTAGAAGTGACTGAAATGATTTCGTTCCATTTACTACGTAATTAAAATGAAAACAGAAACGACCAGACGACTGGTACAAAAACGTTAATTAAATACATTCGCTCTGTTGTTCAAATTACCCAAACATCTCTCGTTTAGTAAAATAAATTACAGTGTTCGCAAGGAAACAGAGACGTATAGGAACTGGTATGGTGTATGAAAACAGTAATTGATTTGTGTCTGAGATCTATGTCACGAAACAGTTGTCGCACATACTTCGCAATTAATCTAGTCTCAACAATATACTAGAACTAAACAAGGAAATGTTTAACCACATATATCATTCTACTACTGATAAGTACTTCGTATAAGCCAAATGAAAATCGAACCCAGTAAAATCAAACCATGATGGAAATAGGATATCTCAACTACGGTAAAAAGCATTCGCATAGTTTATGAAAAAAGAACATCTAAGAATGGTTGGTTATGTAATTAAAATACATCAAACTAAAGAATTAATTCCTGTGCGAACAAAAGATACAAATGGAAGGAGACAAAGCTAATTGTGAATATTTGAGATGTTTAACTGATTACCTGTTGTATAATTATCTAAACGGGCTTTTTTTCTTGGTGTACATTCACTTTTTGGATCACTATCATCTGGATCAGCATTTTCATCACCATCTTCACATTCATTGTTCAAGAGAAGCGAGGGATCTTGACTATTGCTGTTTGTATCATAAAACGACCGCTGGGAACGTAGCCGTTTAACAAGATCGTAGTAGTGGGTTGCTTGGGTCTTTGTCATCGCTACCAAAACCACTTCGCTGGTTTTTGGAGGAAGCTGCCCAAGGACCTGAAACCAAAATAAGTAAAGGAAAATAATGAGACGACAAGATACATACACATAAGCAACACTATATTCATATATATATATATATATATATATATATATATATATATATATATAAGCATTGAAATCATCATGCGCATAAACGATATTGAGAAATAAAGTGTGGTTCACTTAGAACAACAAACGAAGAATGAATTCGAATCATACAACAAATTTGTAAACGGAAGAGTTAAAATGATTTGGAACTAACTTGTGATTTTAATCGTCGTAAACAAAATGGTTGAAGTAGACCTTTAGCTTGAACCAGGCGTTCTTCTTCAAAACTGCTTCGAATAGGACTGTTGTTCGCTGACTGATCTTCCTCACGGGAATTCATGGGTTTCTAAATACAAAAATAATAGGAAAAAAGTACTATACAATTCACTCACTAGTGGCTAGCTTTGAGATCTAATTCTCGGAGTTTTAGTGCAAAGTTGTTACCACTGGAGTTCAACTGTATCGGTGTGAGGCAGTTACCCACAGAAGACAATGAAAAATAGTCGCACAATGTCATAGATTGGTTGACGTTAGGCAGTAACACCGTTGGATGCCGACTCAGCAGTCTGAACATAAAGCGCTCGTGCGCGAGACCGAAGGTCCTGGGTTCCAGTTTCGCGTGCGGGCAAGTGGATACACATTGCTGAAGTCATATACTCGGACGAAACGACCATCCAGTGCTGTCAGGTTTCCAACGATCTAACATTGGTCGGTTCATGATCTGAATAAAAAAGTCAAGTATATGTTTTCAAAATTAAAATCTGACTAACGGGGACTTCAGACTGAGTGTCTCGTTGTTAACAGGTATCATCCTTACACACCCGCCTGTTAATCTCTTGATCTGAGTAGGTAAAACCTAGCGACTTCAGTATGTTTTTGTTGAGATTATATATTATAAATGAATAAATAAGTTGTAAAGCTTACTGAGTAAATCTGAAAAATCCTTTTCAGCAGATCTGTGCTTTTCAAGAACATTTCTGGCATAACAAATGATAACAGAGATACAAGCTCCAACAAGTTGTTTTGAAGAGGTGTGCCTGTAAGAAGTAAACGTCGTTGAACTTTAAAATTCATCAGATTTCGATAACGTTGAGAAGTCATATTTTTTAGCATGTGTGCTTCATCGAAAATCCCATAATGGAAGTTCACGCGTTTCATTAAAGCTCTGTCTTCAAAAGCACTTGTGCCAACAACATAGCTAAAATAGATGGTGAATAATTTTAACAACTCAAAAATACTGATATACATTATGAAAGTGTTTATAGGAAACAAAGGTTTTGGATTAATTTTTGTAAAAAAAAAACAGTTTTAACCAGAATAGCATCACATATAAAAGAGAAAAAATTGTTGGTGAAATGAAACACGTGGTACTTTTTACATAGATGTTAAGTCGACATCACAGTAAAGCTAATCTTAATCCGATCACGTTTGTAGAATGATCGTGTCTGGTATAAATACCTAATTGATAAAATCAGTGAAAGTGATACTTCCTCAGTGTCTAAATCTAGATCTGATGTCGGATATTATTACTTAAGACAACACTATTTGCTTTTATATCATCCAGATGTTTAAAATATAGGATAAATCAAAATGGAAGAGCTCGAATAAATACTCACCTAGTTAATAGTATATTAAAATCAAGTTGAGAGTCAGATTCATAAATTTTCAATCGGATCGCCTTTCGTTGTTCTGCAGATCCTTGATAAACAAGTACTTTAAATGAGGACACCAAAGACTTAATTCACGCTGCCAACTATCCTGAGTTGAACTTGGACAAATGATGAGATGAGGTCCACGATTTCCACTTTCCCAAAGGCTAGCTAGGAAGGCAATAGCTTGAACTGTTTTTCCGAGGCCCATTTCATCTGCTAGTATTCCATTGACTTGTTCGTGGTGTAGTAGACGAAGCCAGTTTAAACCAACGAGTTGGTAGGGTTTTAATTCACGCCTAGGATACACGGAGAAAAAACGTTATGATAAAGAGAAACAAAAGGCATCATATAATACATTTTGTAAATTTCAGTAGAAACTTTAAGTCATACTTACAAAGGGTTTAAAATGGCGGGCTGCTGAGTCACTAGTTGAACGGGATAACCATTTGTTTTGTTTATGGTGAAGTCATCATGTTCATGATCAACTTCATCAGGTTGATTTTGATCAGTGATATAATTTTCAGGTAAAGCGATGGTATTTTCAAGCAAACGTGTCGCATGACTAGCAACTTGTTTAGTTAGACGCTCACACTTATTTAGTAAACGGATAACTGAAGAACGTACTTCTAAAATATCTTTACAGCATTCATATAAATTAGAGGAAAGATGGCGAACTCTCGACAGTTGAGAAACCAAGTCTTTCGTATTTTTAAACGGGCGCATATTGATAATAGCCTGTGCGGTTTTCCAGGAACACCCTGGCATCAAAGTGAGTTCTTCCAATACGGCATCGTTAAAAAATGATAAAAGGTGACGTCGTTCTTCATTAGTTAGATCAAGACCCTACAAAAAAAACATCAGAAAATACTCAAAGTACTTAAAATAAACAGAATTTAAAAAATTGTTATACCGTGAAAAATGCTGCTGATTAAGGGGTAGCGAATCATTGATCGGACCAAAGACGCGCAAACACGTAGAACGACCTAGGGTTCTGATTGGCCCCGCTTCACTGTCCGGCCCAACCAGTAAAGTCCAGAACGCAAGTCTCAGCCTCGGATATATGAATCATTATATTTCAAACATACTTTGTTTATATACCAGTCAAGCAGACCACAACGAACCACAAAATAGAAAATAACATTGTACAATAATGACCAGTAGGAAAATGACACGTGAAATAAGCACGGACCAATAAGAGAATAATACCATCTCAAAGTCCAAGAATAGCATTCGACATAATAGAATAATTTTTGGGATATTTTCCTGAATATCCCAACAAAAATATACATTAAACACGAAGATATGAAGCAAGGGAACATTTCACTGTATTTACACTGACGAAATAAAAGATTTACGTTTTCAATTTTCATAGGAAAAGTAAAGCGATTTTATCTTAAATTATCAAAACGCTTGAAACTTTCAAGAATAAAACAACTGAACGGAAAATATTATTACTGGGATAGATAAATACCTACAGTTGCACCAGAAACCACTACAACGCCCATATAGATCTTTATATAAAAACAGCATTAATTCATTTTAATCGATGTCTTATGATTACGTAGATTAAAATAACAGGATCATATTCTGCATAATTACTTAACAAAGTATTCAATCTCTCTATATATCAAAGTCATGAATAGATTATATTATTTGATCAGTTAAATGCAACCAGCAACGGAATATGCATTACTATAAGTTCAGATTTCCTAATCAGATGTACTTATTTGAAATGACCAAGAAATCAGAAAGCATTCTTCAAATTTAGCACCTCTGTGTCTGGACTTATCTTTAGCAAAATAATCAGCAAAAATTCGATGAGATTTATTTCCGCTCAAAATAATAGTGCATGATTAGTAACAATGATAGTCTTTTGAATGCATTTTGTACAGTATGCTAGGACTATTTCCTCTACTGAGACAGCTCCCGACCGTTGTTGCTACCTTGACGTGGTGGTCGGGCTTGCTAATCGTGATGAAGCAACCGAACAGTGCAGGCTGGAACAACTGTTCCTCAAGGTTCTACTATGTCAGACAGGTCGATTGGAGAACGGTAAGACTAAAAACAACAAACCCAAGGTGCGAAGGCGAAGTCGTACTGCTGACTATACAGAGGTGTGGTAGCAGTAAGGTATTTGTTCCGAGTTCCTTACCATTGCGAATTGGGTTAATAGATATCAGTTAATGCTTGTACAGTATGAAGTTCGAATCCAATGAACGACAGAGCGGATTTATCTATGGTAAGAAATAATACGATGGTTTTGTTGTAATGAAAAAAAGTTTATCGCTAATTTTGATTACTATTCTCAGAAATAGTGGACGTTTTAAAGTGTTTCGACGTAGTATGAAATACTTTTGAATTGTGGACAAACTTTTCTCGAAACTTATTGATAATAATTTAGCCAAGAGTTTTTGATCCGATCACGTCTTGGACGATGGGCAGAATTTTTCGAAGGGCAGTTCAACTGGCCTGCTGCTCCGGCAACATCGGTCAAACTGTCCTGCCCTCCATGGCCGGTGACGACTGATCCACTAAATAGGCGGAAATCCGCAAGCAACTCCAACTCTTGAAGCGTTAAAAATCACCGGGCCCAGATGACTTACCTCCGGCTATTTTTAAAGATGGTGGTGACTTTCTGACTAAAGAACTGACGACGTTGTTTACAACAGTCTGGGAACTAGAGAGTGTACCAACGCCATGGAATGAGTCCATAGTTGTCTCTATCTTTAAAAAGGGTTCACGTCGTTCCTGTAACAACTATCGGGGGATAGGTCTACTTCCGATTGCGTCCAAGCTATTAGTAATGCAGAGGTTCGGCATCGTGTGTTCGGGCACAGAGATGATAATACAATCGGTGTCACCATCTTGAAACACCGACTTCGGTGGCTTGGACATGTTCTACGAATGTCGTCCCAGAGAATTCCACGTCGTGCATTATTTGCCGACGCTGGGACTGGTTGGAAGAAGCGGAGAGGTGGTCAGTGCATGACATGGTGTCGTGGTATGAAAGAAAGCTGCAAAGGACTGGCTTCTGTTGGTCGTTCACGACTCCCTGATTGGGGTCCGAGAGAGGTTTCTACACAGTGGCTCAGAATAGAAGCCAGTGGCGATCCTGCTGTAACCTTCTTTTACTTTCTTCATAAAAAGTGGTTGCTTCTTCCTTAACTGGAAGATTCCTTGTGATTGTACCTTTCCGTTCCCCCATTATTACCACTATTAATATTACACTACCTTACACCACTCTCTTCCTTATTGTATTTTTTACCCTCCATACCTTTTTTTCTTTTTCCTTCCCTTTAAATCCTCATTGTTTTGTGTGGCGCATATATATTTGGCGCACTCTTGTACCAATATTGTTGTGTTCAAATAAATAAATAATAAATGAGTAATATTAAAAAAACATCCTTAGACACTGATTAGGATTTCCAGTGAAGACTAACAAAATCATAAATATTAGTAAGAGCTCATACAAAATATGATCCTGTTATTCTAATCTATGTAATGATAAGACATCGACTAAAAGTTTAAAAAACACCATTAGGACTAATACACTCAGCGGTACCAAAGAAAAATTACGTTGTACCTTAAAATTAGCGATTACAATGAATTTACATTGAGTATAAATATAATCGTGCTAATTTATCATGACATTATGACGTCAACTTGTTTTAAAACAGCTTTAAGACATAGTAAAATCATATGAAAGCTAAATAAAATAACGGAAGATTGAAATACAAAACGAGGTACTTAGTACATAATTACTATGATAGCGATAAAAGTCAGCTGACTTACATCGTCTTCCGTGATAACCTCAACAGCAGGTGAAGTGCTTGTTTCGTTATTGGCGCCCTGAACTTCTGTTGTTAATTTTTGACGAGTTGATTTCCCACGACGTGTAGGTCGTTTACGGCTAACTACATAACATAATAAGCAAATAAACACTGTAATTGATTAAAACTAAACCTCGAATGTTAGCAC